CATCAGCATCAGCATCAGCATCATCATCACCATCACCATCACCATCACCATCACCACCATCATCATCCCTCCCTGACATCCCTCCTCGTCATCCTCCTTCTCCCCATCCTCCTCCGCAACATCCTTCCAGTTCCCGATCCTCATCTTCCTCCCTCCTCTTCAGCATCCCTGCCGCTCCCGATCCTCATCTTCCTCTTCCCTCCTACTCCGCCTCCTCCCCTCCTCCTCGTTCGCCACTGGACCACCGGCTCCTTCACCAGCCGCTGCTCATTTTACGAGCATGGGGAATGTGATGGGCCGACGCTAAATCGCACATCGTTGCGCATGGCGTTCAAACCAACCATCTCTGGGCAAACCGCAGATCGGCCACGGCTCCGGTATTACCAACGTCCGTACCAGGAGGGAACTCGTCGATGTCACGACACCCGGACATGAGTGGAACGCAGCGGGACCTACTAGTACGATGCCCGCCTTGGAGGCGCACGCCCGAACCGAACATGATGCATATAAATATACATTTATATATGCGTAAACATGCAATCAGATGTCTATGCTCCCCGTTGTTCCTTTTAGCTTCTGGTGGAGAAAAAGGCGGACCATGGTGCGGCATGGACTAGGACACGGAAACTGTGGAGCAGAAGGGTAGTGTCAAGTCAGGCTTGGGGAGGGAGCCTGTTGAGTAGTGGAACCGTTGGAGACGAAGGCTGTTGAGTATTGGGTGTGGTGGTGGCGACGGAGGGAGTTGGGTAGAAAGATCTGTTCAAGTTAATATTGGGGAGGGAGCCTATTGCGTACTGGGCGTGGCGTTGGGTACGAATGCTGTTGCGTAATGGGTGTGGTGTTGGAGACGAGGGGACTTCAGTAGAAGTATCTCTATTCAAGGTCACCTTGGGGATAATGACTGTTGAGTCGTGGGTGTGGCATTGGAAACGAAGGCTGGTGAGTATTCGGTTTGGTGTTGGAGACGAAATGGCTGTTCATGGTTGGGTGAACGTCGGCCGAGTAATGGGCGTGATGATGGAGACGAATGATATCGAGTAGCGGGCGTGGTGTTGGCAACGGAGGGGGGTGGGTAAAGGTTATGTTCAAATTCATGGCTGGGAGGGAGCATGTTGAGAAGTGGGTGAGCTGTTGGACACGAAGACTGTTGAGCACCAGGTGCGGTGTTGGAGACGGTTGCAGGGTATACTGGGATGTTATGTTGAGAAGGGAGCCTGTTGAGTAGCGGGTGCGTTGGAGACAAAGGCTATCGAGTATGAGGTGCAGCAGTGGAAACCGAGAAAAGACGTTCAACATGATCCTCAAAGGTGAATGCGGGAAACGCGCGCACCATTCATACATTCCTGAACGCACCATGGTGTGTAGTATTGGGCATCCCGTTGGAGACGAGGGGAGTTGAGTAGAACGATGGTTCCAAGTTATCTTAAGAAAGGAGCCCGTTGAATGTTGGGCGTGGTGTTAAGGACGACGGCCGTTGAGTATTGGGTGGGGCGTTGGAGTTAGGCTGGTGTTCGAGACGGGAGCGAGAGCACCATAACGGGCGGAACATCGAGGGATGCGGAAGAGAATGTATAGGAGCGTGCCGAATAATTTGGGCCAAGAAAACGGCTGAGTGGAGGCCCCGTTGGGGGGTCTCCGCTGGGGTACGACGAAATCGCACGGTTGCTACCTAACTTTAAAGAATATAAGAGAAATACAGTTCATGATACACATTGCGGGTTGAGCGTGTATATGTACATCGATTGGCATACAACGTGGCTTACACATCCTGTAGGATATGTGAGCGGCACGGCCAGAAACCACCGGCCACCGACCATCTACTGCAAGAGCTCTGACCGCGCGCGGTACTCCGGGGGCGCCGACGCCCGAAGAATAGAAACATGTCCGGACGATGCCAAATAAACTCTGACCACGCCCCTCGCTGCGGTCTGCGGCCTCCAAAATAAACGGCTGCACGCCGCGCATCCTCTCCCGCTCCAGTGCCGGTCCCGCAGGTAGCGCGCTATCGCGACGAAGTCCCCGACGCGCCTGCGCCCGCCCCGCAGGGCCGCGAAGGGGGCCGCGCGGCCCCCCGCGGCCGGCAGCGCGAGCAACTCGGGATCATCGCTTCCCTGCCTCACGTCCTCGACGGAACCGTAGAGGCTGGGCGCCCGAAGCTTCCGCGGAGCTCCTGGGCTGTCGACGCCTAGAGGCGGGGACCCGAGCGAGCAGACTCGCGCGCGCGCTCCATGATGCGGCGCTGCATCAGCGACAAGGGCCCGAACTGCGCCGGCCCACCTCGCCCGCGACAGCGCCCAGAGGGCGGCGCGAGAAGTCGAGGGCTGCACCCCCCCGGCGAACATCGAGATCTCGAGCATGACGCTGCCGAACACGCTGCTGGCAACCACGAGACGAAAGTCCAGCACCTGCAGCGCGATCGGCTGCGACCGGCGGCGGAAGCAAGGGGAGAAAATTGCGAGCAACGTGTCGAGTACGCTCATCGCGTCCGAACGACACGCGCTAATATTCATCGCGCAGAGACGCCTCCCGCTCGCGGAGCGAACGGGGGCCGCGGAGAGGGCGGCCCATGCCGCCGTCAACCCGCGTCGTCCTTCTTGCCCTTCTTGAGGGTCTCCTTCTCTTCGCGAGCTTTGCGGGGGTTCTTGACCAGGGCTGCTTCTCGCTGGACTTCAAAATGTACTCCAACAAATCAGGGCATATCATCTGGCTAAGAGTGCAGGCGCGACGATCCAAAGAAATGCGTCTGCTCCTCGATGGGCAGCCGCCCGCCCTGGTTCGCGCCCTCCCTCTCGCGCACCTTCTCGAGATATAAGTGCTCGATCGTCTGCGTCCGCCTGAAGATGGCCTCGCACGTCTGCAAATTTGTGCCGCCGCGCTGGTCGGACAGCAGCAGGAGACGAATGTACTGCGAGCACTGATAGTACTCTTGAACTCCCCACTGTGTTGGCTCCAGCCGGACGACGGCACGAAATCGGCCATGATGCCCATCGACGCCCATGCCCTCGCTGTCGATGTAGTCTATGCACCAGAACATCGTCCGAAGGCTTGACACAAGCCAATCCTTGTCGAAGTCCTCCTCGCGCACGCGAGCAGCCATCACCGACCAGGGCACCTCACGACGAGCACCTGTCCGTATGATGGGCACCGCGCGAGCGTCAGCCGCCGCAGCTCCGCCCATGAACGCCTCGAGGTCCGCGCCCGCGAGCCCCATCCACGAATGGCGCGCTGCCGTCCACCATCACGTGGAGGTCCCGCGCGCGCACCGCAGCCGCCGTGGCCACGTGGCCGGCGACCTCGTCCCCGTAGCGGAACCCGTCGAGAGTCTGGGCCGTGCGCCAGCGGGAGCCGTTGTCCACCGCCGCTGCCGCCACCGCTGCGCCTTGCAGCACGCCTGGGAGAAGAGGCACCGCCGCCAGCACGATCGCCGCCGCAGCAGCGGGCGCCGCTGCTGCCCTGTGGCCCCCGGCGACCAGCGCCATGAAGCCCACGACCATCATCAGGTCGGGCCGCCCAAGCTGCGCCGAGACCTGCTGGCACCGCTGCTGGGCGAGGAGCTCGGCGTCGCGCCTGAAGCCCAGTTTCTCGTCGGCGATGGGTTCCTGCCTGAAGCGGTGCACGCGGGCGGCGTCCACCCGAGGCGGCACTGCATTCCAGACCGCGCTCCATCGCACCAGATCGATGTCATCGTTGTCGTTCTCGTCGTACTTCTCGATGCACGTGTCCCCGTCTGGCGGGGAGCCCTTGTAATTAATCGAAAACCGAGAGCGCCACGCGGCCTGAAACCCACCGCTGGTGCACCAGGTCGTCCCCCACGTACCTTAGCCACCCCCACCGCATAGCCGAGGCACTCCACGAGCCCGAAGGTGACCCCGCCGCCGCAGCACGCACGCGGGACAGGCCGGGCACGACGCGGGGGCGCTGCACCAGCCCTCTCCCGCCGGACGCCGCTCTTCTGCCGGCGGCGCGGGGCAGGTCAGCGTGGGGCACGCCGGGCAGCTCACGCTCGCCGGCTCGCCGGCGCAGGGCACGAGAAGGCGGGGCCCAGCGAGCATTTGGGGCACTCTGGAGCCGACGGGCACCGCGGGCAGCGCTGGAGGTAGGCGACGGCCACGTCGCGCGCCCCGCCCAGCAGCCACCAGTGCCACATCCGCCGGCCCGCGGACCGCTCCCCCCGCTCCGCCTTGAGCCCAAACGGCAAGGCGGCCCACCCCACTCCCTGCTCCGCAAAACGTGTTAGGATTACTACAGTGAGGCATGGCGAGCCGCGAGCCGCGAAACACTTCGCGCTCTCGTGGCGGCCCTTGGTTCACAAGGGGCATGGGACAGCAGCGCTCAGCTGCGACCTGCTTGCCCTGCGTTCCCTGACAGGAGAAGGGAGAAGATCCACCTTCACCACCCGGGGATATTGTTAACCAGCTCGCTGGAAACATGCCCAACCAAACCGCTCGAAGCGGGCTCAATCAGAACAGAAAAGAACATAACAACTGTCAACGCCCGCAAGGTCGGCCCAAAAGCGGGCGACAGGCGGGCTCAATCAACGCAGTGGAAAGAAGCGAAACGAATCCACTGGAAGCATCGAAAATGAACTAAAGCCAAATCGCCTGATGCAAATTCAGCCACTCCGCTGGGATGGAAAATGGGAGAAGCGGGACCCACCTCGGATTCGCATGGCGATCAGATCCAAGTTGTCCTCGTCACGGTGCACTTCCAGGCCACAGACTTTGAGAAAGTCCTGTCCACTTTCAACGTCAAGGGGCGGAGGAGGATGAGGAAGGAGAAGGAGGCGGATGAGGAGAGAGGAAAAGAGGAAGGAGAGGAGGAGAAGAAAAAGTGGAGGAGGAGGAGGAGGACACGAGCCCAGGAAGGAGGACGCGGCGACACGAACACGACCGAGAGAGCCGACAGAGGATGCAGATCCACGCGGGCCAGGGGGAGGGGGAAGCCCAGAAGGACGAGGAAGAAGAAGCAGAGGGAGAGGGAGAAGGAAGGCGATGCGAGTC